GGAAAGGTTCCTTTTTTTGAGGGTACTCCCGGGAACAGATCCAGTGGAGACGGGGTGGGGCCTTGTAAGAAACAAGAAGAATCAAACCATTGTTGAACATACCACCTCCACTTAACAATTGTTCTCTTCGGAGTTGCATCAGTTGATGCACACCCCCGCCAAGTCCTTGCAGTGTGCAAACTTAGCGAGCGAGACTATCTTGGTCAACATATCTGCAGCATTATCGTCTGTGATNTAACCTTCACGACCTTGATAGTTCCCTTTTCAACAACATCTCGAATAAAATGAAATCTGACATCCATGTGTTTAGTGCGCTCATGCAATCTCTGATTTTTCATTAGATGAACAGTACTCTGACTATCACATCAAAGAGTTGATTCCAGCTGAACCAAACTCAATTCCGCTACTAAACCTTTCAACCAGATAGCTTCCTTCACCGCCTCCGCTGCTGCCATGTATTCTGCTTCTGTCGTAGACAAAGCGGCAATCGACTGCAGAGTCGACTTCCAACTAACGGCACTGCCAACGAGGGTAAAGATGTATCCAGTTGTGGACCTTCTTCTGTCAAGATCTCCTGCATAGTCAGAATCTACATAACCGAGAATTGAAATACCTCCACCACTTTTTCGAAAGGTCAGACCAACACCAGAAGCTCCTTTGAGATATCTCAATATCCACTTGACAGCTTCCCAATGCCTCTTTCCTGGGCTGGACATGTATCTACTTACCACACTTACAGATTGAGCAATATCTGGACGTGTGCATACCATAGCATACATAATGCTACCAACTGCACTGGCATAAGGAATCTTTGACATATGCTCCACCTCATCCTCGGACTGAGGCATTTGTAACTCTGAAAGTTTAAAATGAGGAGCTAATGGTGTACTTACAGGCTTGCACGTATGCATATTGAATCTCTCGAGAACCCTTTCAATATACCTCTTCTGAGAAAGATGTACAACACCGTCTTCTCTTGAAATCTCCATACCAAGGATTTTCTTTGCAGCTCCTAAATCCTTCATGTCAAATTCCTTACTCAACAGTTTCTTCAAAGCATTTATCTCTGTAATGTTGTTAGCAGCAATAAGCATATCATCAACATACAACAGTAAATAAATCATTGAGTTACCAGACATCTTCTTGTGATACACACAGCTATCAAATGCACTCCTTGAGAATTCATGTGTAGTCATGAATGCATCAAACCTCTTGTACCACTGTCTAGGGGATTGCTTCAAACCATACAAAGACTTCTTTAGTTGGCATACGTGATCTTCTTTTCCCTCAGCTAGGAAACCTTCAGGTTGATCCATATAGATTGTCTCTTCTAGATCACCGTGTAAGAAAGCAGTTTTGACATCAAGCTGTTGAAGCTCCAAGTCAAATTGGGCAACCAATGCTAGTAGCACGCGAATTGAGCTATGCTTCACGACTGGAGAGAAAATCTCATTGTAGTCAATTCCCTCCTTCTGACTGAAACCTTTTGCAACCAATCTCGCCTTGAACCTAGCATCTTCCACTTCAGGAATTCCCTCTTTCTTTCGGTAGACCCACTTGCATCCAACTGTCCTCTTCCCCTTTTGTCTTTTCACTAAGACCCATGTCTGATTCTTGTGAAGAGACTCCATCTCTTCAGTCATGGCTAACCGTCATTGTACAACATCCTTGCAAGAAGTTGCTTCAATATACGAGGAGGGCTCCAGATCCTTAATCTCTTCTTGTGCAGCTACAAACGCATATGCAATCAAGTTTGCTTGATCTATAAGGCGTTCCGGTTCTCATGTCTGCCTCTTCTCCCTCCCCTTCGCAATTATGTATGGTTCATTGACAACAAGTTCTTCAAGGTCTACATTTTCTGACTCATCTTTAACCTGAGTCTCTTGATCCTTTTCCTTGGCAAGCTCCACCGGAAGCTCCACCTGCTCGTCGTTCTTGTTTCCTGAAAACTCCACGGAAACTTTACGGGGATCAAGTATAGAGGATTCATCAAAGGTGACATCTCTACTAACTATAAATTTGAGTAAAGACAAACACCAAAGTTTGTACCCTTTTACTCCATCCACATACCCTACGAATATGGCCTTCTTAGCCCTTGGTTCAAGCTTTCCTTCATTAACGTGATAATAAGCTGGACACCCAAATACTCGTAAGTATGAATAGTTAGAGGGTTCACCTGACCATACCTCATTCGGAGTCTTAAAGTCAATTGCCGATGCTGGAGATCGATTGACAATATGAGCAGCAGTGTGAACTGCTTCAGCCCAAAATACTTTGGACATTTTGGCTTGTAGGAGCATACAACGAGCCTTTTCAAGAAGAGTTCTGTTCATTCTCTCGGCAACTCCATTCTGCTGTGGGGTATGCCTGACAGTCCTATGTCTTGAGATCCCATGAACCTTGCAGAATTCATTAAACTCTTCATTGCAAAACTCCAAGCCATTGTCTGTGCGAAGATACTTGATTTTCCGCTCCATTTGATTTTCAACCAAAATCTTCCACTCTTTAAATGCTTCAAAAGCATCACTTTTTGCCTTCAAAAAATACACCCAAACCTTTCGTGAGAAATCATCAATAAAAGTGAGAAGATACCTCTTTTTGCCCTTCGATGGAAGTTTAGAGGGACCCCATAAATCTGAATGGATGTAGTCTAGCACTCCTCTTGTCTTGTGTTTGCCAGTGCTGAAGCTGACCTTCTTTTGCTTCCCTAGAACGCAGTGCTCACAGAAGTCAAGTGTGCTGATCTTCTCACCTTCCAAAAGGTTACGATTGCTCAACATCTCCAGTCCACGTGCGCTCATATGACCCAGTCTCATGTGCCATAGTCTTGCCTTGTCATCATTAGATAACTGCACTGTAGATGCATTTGCAGAGCCAACAATGGTGCTTCCGGCCAATGTGTAAAGGCCGTTCTCCAGCTTGCCTTTCAGCATGACTAAAGAACCTTTAGTCACCTTCATAGTTCCTGCTTCGCTCATGTACCTGTAGCCTTGTTCATCCAGAGTACCCAAGGAGATCAAATTCTTCTTCAGATCAGGAACATGACGGACTTGTGTAATAGTCCTCACGATTCCATCATGGCAGCGAACCCGAACTGAGCCAATGCCAACTATTGCACAAGTTGCATTATTGCCCATTACTACGGTTCCTCCACTTTTCTCGTAGCTGCTAAACCAGTCTTTTCGGAACGTCATATGCAGAGTACAAGCAGAGTCTAACACCCATTTGTTTTCATAACTACTATTATTATTACACGATGTTGTTAGTACATAATCATTATCAAAATTATGTACCTGTTCAACTGTAGATGCACTCGCCTTTTCCTTGGACTTTGACATTGGGCAATCTCGTTCAAAGTGCCCCTTCTTGCCACAACCCCAACACTCTGTATTCTTCTTGTTCACACGAGACTTTGATCTGTGCTTTGATTTGGTCTTTCCCTGTTGGCTAGTCCGGCCTCTTACAAAGAGGCCACTTGCCTGGTCATCTCTATCTCCTTCAATGTGCCTCCGCACATCACTAGAGTTAAGTGCCTGCCGCACTTGCTCAAGCTTGATAGGCTCCTTGCTATACATCATTGAATTCTCAATATCACGATATCCTGAAGTCAATGAAAATAGCAAAGCACATGCAAGCGTCTCCTCATCCTTTTCAATTCCTGCAATCTGTAAGTCCATGACAAGTTTATTGAACGCATCTAAATGATCGTGTAACGAAGTACCTGACCCCATCTTAAATGTGTGAAGACGTCGTTGTAACAACATCCTTGTTGTCACTGATCGGTCTTGGTATAGCCCTTTTAGCCTTTCCCATAACTGTTTGGCCGTCTCTTCGGTACCCGTACTCACTTCACAAAGCACGTTAGGTGCAAGGGATAGTTGGATTGCACTCAATGCATCCCCTTCAATCTTCTCCTTGTCGGGAGTTGATATATCCTTAGGATACTTTCCGTCAATAGCATGGATTGAACCTTCCCTCCGCAGTAACGCCATCATCTGGATCTTCCAGATATTGAAGTTATTGCGTCCACTGAATCTATCAATTTCAAACTTCATGGAACTCATCTTTGCTTGTTCTTCCTCCTTGGATCGTTAAAGAATCATGTCGCTCTGATACCAATTGTTAGCGGAAATGTAAAAGAAAGAACACAAGATTTAAAGTGGTTCGGATCAAAATAATCCTACGTCCACCAGAGAACAGTTGCCTTTTTAATATTAAAAAGGGAAGGGGAGATTTCCCAATTACACTTAAGAGAATTTCTCCCTTAACTCTCTACTCACTACAATGTATTATATTATTTTTGGGATGGTTTCTACAAATGAGGGAGTGCATCTATTTATAGAGGTAAAGACCTCCTCTTGATGTCACTGGTGACATCAAACTACCTTTGTATCCTAGTATCCACACCAACTCTTTCCACCAACTTTTCCAATTGGCATGCCAGTGTTGACTAAACATAAACCAACACTTTAAAAATTAAAAGAGGTATGAGCAATATACAGTTTGTTCGTTCGTTCGTTCTAGCCAAGACTAATTGCAGTTCCAGGAAGTGTCATTCTTCTTCTTTCTTTCTTTTTTTTTTGAATAAGTGGTACAAGTATCATTCTTACCTCATCTTCATTAAATTTTCCAGCATTACAGATCCTCGCAAAGAGTTCTCCTCCGGAAGCATACTCCATTACTATAGCTAGATGAGTCGGTGTCAGCAAGACCTATAAGAGTTAAGTCAATTCATATAAAAAGCAAACTATAAACAGAATTCAAGAGTCTACTTGCCACTTCATCTACATCATTTACTTTCTTTGATTATTATTTTAAACCAGCACAAGGACTCTGAAACAATCATTGTAATCCCATTAATTGCAAATTGCCACGATTAAATCACCAAACACAAAATATCTGTAAACCATCAATTCCAGCTACTATAAGGAAAAGTTCATTGGTTTCAATCTATAAGATGCAGAAGATTGCAATTAATTGCGAGCAGCAAGGTCCTTTGGTTGAGAAATAAGTTATCCCAGGATAATTATCCTGGGATTAATTATCCCGGGGTTGTTATCACACCTTCCCTACGGGATAAAAATTAACACTACAATCCCATACCGCGATTTTATCCCAACCAAATGTGGGATAAACTCATCTCAAATTTAATTCCGGGATTAATTATCCCTTATCCCTCGTACCAAACAAGCTCTAAGTATCTTGTTACTACGATTAACAATTTACCAACCAGATCATCTATTCCAATAATTAAATTTCATTACCACTTCTGATCATTAAGAAAAGGAGTTGGTGCCATTTAAGAAACATGATCACATGGCTAAGAAAACAACTTAAAAAGATTTCCTTAATAAGCCTCGATGGCAGCAATATTCAGAATCCCCACAGGAATCAATGCATAACAGAATAAAGAAAAAAGAAAGATTCTTTCTAACAGTAAGAAGGAGAGCATACACACCTCTTTAAATCTGACTATATTTGGATGTTTCAATGATCTGTGATTCATAATTTCCCTTTGCACATGTTCATCTATCTGCAACCTCAAAATAGTCAACCAAAACAAAAACATTTGATCATCACCAAGAACATATATTAACAACTACTTCAATGAAAAATCAAAATATATAATGAAGTAAAGGTGTCAAATTTAAGGTGGGGAAAAAAAAACCTTGTGGCCTCTTTCAATAAACTTGACAGCAAAAAGCTCTTTGGTTTTCTTGTCACTAACAAGCTTGGCTACCCCAAAATTACCAGAACCCAACTCCTTCACTATCTCATAACGCTCCATAATCAAGGAAAAAAGGGAAAAGGGGTTTAATCTCAGATTCTTCAGAATTCAGAAAAATTTTCTCAAAGTCTTGCGTATATTGACCTACTGAATTGATAATATTCAAAGGTAAGAGAAAAGAGGTTCAAAATATTCAGAGGTTAAGTTTTCATAAATTTAACTATTGTTATCACTATCAGCTCAGTGGGTAAGAAGAAGACAAGAAAGAGAAGCGTGTTTTGTAAGTTTTTTACTTTATTACTGCGGTTAAAGGTTTGAGTTTCGGACCTTGAATTGAAAGAGAGAGGGAAGAATAAGGATAGACACGTGGTAAGAGTTGATAACGAAACAAAGAATAGAATACAGTAGTAGATGACAAGACAACTTTCTTGTCCGTAAGGTTTGCGGGAAAATTGCCACTAATTGTGATTTTGGTAGGTCAATAAATTGGATGAACGTAGGGCTTTGGACATAAAAATTGTAATTTTTTAATAAAATAATATTGGAAGTTACGTTATAAAGTCCAGTATTTTTGAAATTTGAAATTATGATTAGATATATATTTTACTTGAAAAAATATTACAGTTTTGTAAGTGAAAAAAAAGTTTCTTTTTTGAAAAAGTGACCAAAACCACTTTTTGTTTTTTGAAAAACTCATTTTTTAAAAATTTCCAAAACTTGCAAAATATTATGGACAAAATTTATTTAAAAAAAAAAAAAAACTTATGGACAAACGGGTCCTTAATTGTTGTGCTTCTTTTTCGTCTGATGCGCTTTTGATTTTGGTGGGTCATTTGGATTTGGTGTTAGCACAAACCAACACAAAAGAGTTTTAAAAAGCATTCCTAATAATCCAATTGCTCGATCAGGGTTTTGTTGCACAAGCTGCTATCAAGATTAATAAAATTGATGGTTAACATGATGCAATTGCATGGGACAAAAGGAAGACAATTTTGGATGGAGGTTTTAAACAGAGGCGGGGTTAGTATTTTGAGTTTACGGGTTTTGAATATTAGAGAAAAACAGTTTAAATTATTTATACATATTAAATAAATTTTTTAATATAAATATAAAATTTGGGTTAAAATTATTAAGTTCTAATGAACCCGTAGCAAACTTGTGGCTCAGCCCCTATTTCTGAGGTGTCATTGCATATTTTGGTTTGGAGGCAGGAAAGGGGACTTACATAGGTGCAACTGTAGACTAAAGAATTATCCTGAAATGAAAAGGTAGAGTATCTGCCATCATTTTTAAATTCAGGCGATGTTTTGAATACATTGCAAATGTTGATTAGTGATTTAAACAATAGATCTAAAGTGGCTACTGATTTAGCCCTTCTTCATATTGTCCTCGACCTTTGGATTTGCCTCTTTGATGAATTTCCACTCGAGGGAGAGGGGGAGAGGACCCTCCAAACTTGGGGTAAGTGCACAAATAGTCATTCTCAGGGATACTATTTAGAGATTAGTCAGTAGTTATTTTGTCATGATATTTTAAACTAAAAATCTTAATTTCAAGATAATTCGTAATATTTTTGTTTCGGAAAAAATTGAATTAAAAAATTGAAATTCAGAACGCACTGGCTAATTCCTAAATAACAGCCCTTTAGAGTGACTACCAGGTGTCATTTCTACAAACTTGGGCCATTCAAAGCCCACCAATTACAATGGAGGAGTTCCCATAATAAATCGTGATCATATCTCATTTAGAGAGGAAGGTACATTTTATCACAACTGAAAAAATATTTGGTTATAGTAGATGGTAATAGATGATTTTTTTCGGAAACAGCTGCATAATTGTTTAACCCAGAAAATAGTTTTCAAGGTCAAAGCAATAATTTTATATGACGGGCTACAAGCAATCGATTCAATTCGAAAGATATAAAATTTCGTTAATACAACGTGATAGAGAAGTGGGAAATAAATTCAATGACAGATAATATAATAAAAATAAAGCAGAGAAGAAAGAATTCTTATTGAATGATCCTTGATAGAATAATGAGCCGAACAGAGCTTGAAGGGCCGAACTATGGCTAACTTGGGAGCAAAATGCTATGAATAACAATGTATAGAATTGTAGAGAAGAAAATTAGATTCCCCTGATGGTGGTAAAAGCATGTCTATTTATAGGGCTAAATCTAAGTAACTAGTCTCCTTGAATTATGGGTCCATTATGAGCATTTACTCAATCCATCCATTACTTTTGGAAGATTTGTAACAGCTGTGTAAATGCTGAAATTCCGTAACTGATGAGTTAATTCCGTAACTGATGAGTTAATTCCATAACTGATAAGTTAATTCCATAACTGATGAATTAATTTCGTAATTAATGAGTCAATCTCGTGCCTGTTAAGTCAATCTCGTAATTGATTGCTTTGTTCTGACCGTTACAATCATTTATTGCATTTATTAATAATTGATTTGTAACTGATGGTGTAATGATGGTAAATCACATATAATCCGGGATTAATTTATTCCTTCCTCATTTGTAATTATGAGATATTCTCCCGCGCCTGATCTGGGCTATTTCATGATGATTAGTTTTGGGGTTAACAGGCACGGTATGAGTATGTTCGGTCCCGGGGGTGTTTCACATATCATCTTTACATGTCA